TGGAATTCCTGGATCAAATGTTTCTATGTTTAGTTTTTTGAGGAACCTCCAGATTGCTTTCCACAATGGTTGAACTAATTTACATTCCCACCAACAGTGTAGGAGGGTTCCCCTTTTTCCACGTCCTCATATCTAGTCTTATTTTTTATTATTTTCTTAAGATAGATTCCTGTCTGTTAGGTCTGTATAACAGAATACCACAGACTGAGTAGCTTATAAATAAATTTATTTCTCACACTTCTCAAGGTTGGGAAGTCCAAGATCAAGGCTCTAGCAAATTCAGTATCTGATGAAGAGTCGCTTCCTGGTTCATACACAGCAGTCTTTTTGCTGCGTCCTGATGTGGCATAAGGGAGAAAGGTGCTCTCTGGAGTCTTTTCTAGAAGGATTTGCCCTTATAACTTAATCATCTCCCAAAGACCCCACCTCTAGATACCATCACATTGGGATTAGGTTTCAACATAAGAATTTTGGGGGAACACATTCAGCCTATAGCAATTCCTAAAAGGAATTGTGTCAATTTACTTGAAATTACTGGATCAACAAGTGTTGGTGAGGATGTGGAGAAAAGGGAACCCTTGTATACTGTTGGTGGGAATGTAAATGGGTGCAGCCACTGTGGAAAGCAATGTGGGGGTTCCTCAAGCTAAAAATAGAAATGCCATATGACCCAGTAATCTACTTCAGAAGAAAAAAGAGTCCCTGATTTGAAAAGATATGTGTACCCCTATGTTTATCACCATATTATTTACAGTAGCCAAGTTATGGAAGCAACCTAAGTGTCCATGAATGGATAAAGATGTGGTACATATACACAGTGGAATATTAATCAGCCATTAAAAAAATAAATCCTGCCATTTGTGACAACATGGATAGACCTAGAGGATATTATGCTCAGTGAAATAAGCCAGGCAGAGAAAGATAAATACCATACAATTTCACTTATTTGTATAATCTAAAAACAAAACAAGACGAAATGAACAAAATAGCAGTAGACTGATTGACACTGAGAAGTGACTGTGGTTGCCATGGGGGAGGGGCTGGGGTAGGTAGATGGGAAGGGTGAGGGGAATAAAAGTACACAAAATTCTCAATCATAATATAGATGTTAGAGAATCATCTTCCTATGTTGACAGATAGTAAGTACACTCATGGCAGTGAAGATTTAATAACATGGGTAACTCTTAAACCATTGTATTGTATACTTGAAACCAGTATAAGATTGTATATCAGTGATACTTCAGTAAAAAAGGAAACTGCTGGATCAAAAGTTAGGAACCTTTTTAGGTCCCTTAGTAATTGTGGTATCACTTGTCTTTTCAGAAAGCTTATGCCACCTTGATTAACTTTAGCCTTCACAGCAGAACCGATCTTTTTTTTTTTAATTTTTTAATTTTGTTATCATTAATCTACAACTACATGAAGAACTATGTTTACTAGGCTCCCCCCTTCACCAAGTCCCCCCCACATACCCCTTCACAGTCACTAGAACCTATCTTTTGCTAGTTCTGATTTGTTATGAGTGATAAATGCTGTAAGAGTTTAACAAAGAGAGAGTTTAAAGGTGAATGGTTAAGAAAGGCTTGTGGGGGTCAAGTTGGACCTTGAACTATCTTGGAGGATCCATAAAGTTCAAACAAACTGAGAAGAAGGACTTTCCCATTAGAAGCACAGCAGAAGCAAAGGTACTGTGGAAACAATGAATATAGCCTGTTGTGGAGGTAGTCATAATCTAATTTTCCTAGGATGGATAGTTACTGCATGGAAATAGTGTGATATAAATTGAGAGAGAGAATATCATCTGAGACTGAACTTAAATCTGTAGGTATTTGTCGCGACCCTTCAAGGACCGAAGCAACACGCCCAAGGTCTTGATTCTTCTTTAGGCTTTATTGTCTAATCTCTCCCGGCAGTTACAGCAGTTGTCGGGCAGCTCTTCTCCCTCCCGGCGGACTCCCTTATATTCAGTCACCCAACCAATCCGGGACAGTATCATGCGTGACCTTTAAGCGGATAGGTGTCACGCACCACTCTAAGCGGGCAGCACGAGCTGTGCACGGGTACGGAAGTCTGCTGGGCCAATCCCCAACAGGGAAGAGGGGAAAGGGTGGTGAGCAGGAAGCAGGCGCCATCTTTAGGGCATTGTCCAGCTAGAGTGGGGCTCAGCCTTGGCCGTAGGCCGGGCCCCCACTGGTATTGAGGAGCTGTTGACAAATTTTGAGCAGGAGAAGATATCAGCAAAACAGTGTTTTTATGATTGTAGAAGACTATTTGGGAAACCAAAAGCATCTTTAAGAGTTGCAGATTTTTTTAAAATGGTCAATGATAATTTTTTTTAATGTTTTAATTTTTTCTTCATATAAACATGCTAGGAACTATTTACTCTAGTTCTTAGCATATGATGGTGATATGACTTACCATGCTACAAATGACCTTTTCAGACCTGTTTTAGTGGCTCAGGCTTGAGATTCAAGTAGTGCAGCTCAGACACCCCAGTGGCTGGATCCAGATTGAATGGTCAGAAGCTATTTCATATGGAGGAAGTCAGTTTTCATTAAATGAAGGTCATATGCCACTTGGATAGGGATTTCCAAACATTCAAGCTGTCAGGTGAGGTGAGAGGTATACAAAGGACCCACTGAAGCTCTTTCCACTAGAGTTGTTATCATCCTCTTTGTATTCACATAAGTGGTTACAACAAATCCTAATGAGAAGTGATGTTGAGGCCAAGCATTTCCTGGTAAATAAAAATATCATCTCTTTCCACTGCATTTTCACCATCTTCAAGGAAATGTGTATGTTGGAAGTTCTCGTTTCCAGTGTGAATTTAAGTAAACTGCAGTGTTGCTCTTCCATCATTGCCTTTTCTCCTTAGGATCATAAGCCAGAAATTTCCAATCAATGCAAAATGATGCAGATATTTCAGGCATTCTCCATTTAGCTGACCATAATATATTTCATATTAAATAAAATATCTTGTAAGACATGTACATTTTTTAAATCCAACAGTAGCTCACCATACTTCACATAACATGATGCTTATATTGTAGAAAAGTAAGACTCAGATTCGAGTCTTAGAATTTATTAAAGTTGGCAAGAAGGAATGAGGAGCCCACACAAAGTTCATAAGCCACCAAAGAGATAGTGATTTTTCTTGAGATAAATTGTCACAGAGTATACTAACCATGACAAAATGTTACAACTGTGCAAAATATTTGATGACATTAACTTAGGACAACTACCAAAGAGAGCTTTCATGAAGAATACATCTGACATATTTTTTAAAAGGATGATACTATTTACTCAGGGGAGAGTAAAACATTAGGGTATTTCCAGCTTACTGGGGCTCTAACCTTTCCTAACTGGGATCTTCAGGACATATGGCTCTGTCTGTAATGGGTAGGGTTGGCTTCGTGGATATTCAACCTGCACAGTTGCACATGGCCCTATGCCTAGAAGGGTCTGGTACTTGGTTTGATGTTCTTCTGTTATCATCTTGAAATGCCTGACAGTTTTTTTTTAACTGAGGTATCATTGATATACAGCTTATGAAGGTTTCACATGAACAGCATTGGGGTTTCAACATTCACCCATATTATCAAGTACCCCCCAACACACCCATTGCAATCACTCCATCAGGGTAGTAAGATGCTATGGAGTCATTACTTGTCTTTTCCGTGCTGTACTTCCTTCCCCATGACCTATCTATATTCTGTGTGCTAATTGTATTGCCCCTTAATCCCCTTCTCTCTCCCTCCTGTCCCACCCTCCCCAGCCCCACCCCTCATCCTTGGTAACCACTAGTCCCTTCTTGGAGTCTGTGAGTCTGCTGCTGTTTTGTTTCTTCAGTTTTGCTTCATCATTATACTCCACAAATGAGGGAAATCATTTGGTACTGATCTTTCTCCTCCTGACTTATTTCACTGAGCATAATACCCTCTAGCTCCATCCATGTTGTTGCAAATGGTGAAATGCCTAATAAATTTTAAACAAGGGTCTCTGCATTCATTTTACAGTGAAATTGTGTATGGTTCTGATTTCAACTTCCTTTACCATATATTATGGTAAAGGTAAAATACCATGTATTATGGCCTAAAACATGATTATCACAGGGCCAAACTATGGACCAACGGGCGAGGTCTATGGTGAGCCAAAAAAGTTTCTGGCCAATTCCTCTTATTTCCACAGGAGGCCAAACTGCATACCAGAGGAACAGGAAGGAGAGAGAGTGTAGAAGCAGGCAGGGGCTACTGACAGCTGGAGTTTCTCCGTTAAGAATAATAGCAGTTGCTACCACTTCTACACCCACCACCACATCAAGCCAGTATCTGACAGGCTCTAACTAATATGTGATATGCGTTATTCCCTTTAACATAATCCTCTCAACAACCTGCAAAATGAGTATTATTTTTATAGATGAAGAATCTAAAGTTTCCAGGAATTAAGTTGCCCACAATTATAGAGCTAGCAATGGTCTTTTCCCACTCATTATCCTTTGTAGTTATTTAGGAAGTGGCCAACCTTCCTTGTCTGTTGTTAAAATTGAACTTGAATTGCTTATTTGCCTACTTAAAAAGACTCATTGGCAGGGGTAGGGCCATAGACTAATGCTTACAGAGATTGTTTTCTGTTTTCACTTACGTGTAATTGTAGATAGCGTGTAGGACCTTTTGAATATAAATTTTTTTCCTTTTTCTCCATGGTTTCTGTCTGGACAACATACTAGTACTGGAAGTGTTTTTCCAGGAAGAAATAGGTACACGCTCCTTCCTTTCTCAGAAGATCATGTCAGTAGTGCAATATATTTTTTAGACCTCCACCAAAGTTACATTTTGTTTTTTGGTTATTTCTGTTATTATTGTTTTCCTACTTGTTATATGTGATTGTGTTCTGCCGTGATTGAAATAGATTATCCATGTTTTCTATTTTAATTTTGCATTAAGATTTTTCAAAAATTTATAAATTCTATTGCAGACTAACCACAGTTATATCTCCTGCAGGAAACCATCCCCAGCAGCTGATGTGTCCAGAGCTGGATATAGTTCCTCATCCAGTCACAGGTACATTCCCCGGAGGGCAGTGCTCTATGTACCTGGAAATGACGAAAAGAAAATAAAGAAGATTCCCTCCCTGAATGTGGATTGTGCAGTGCTCGACTGTGAGGATGGTGTGGCTGCGAACAAAAAGGTAATGACATGATTTTGCCTTAGGATGGGAAAAGGAGAAGGAGTGAAACTTGGTGCTCTTTTCATAGCATTGCTCACTATTTGGGAAGATTCTACCATACTTTTGCTGATTACTAATATATTCTTGACCCAATCCTCATACGGGTTTGGAATGTGTGTGTCTCTCTATTCAAGAGAAAAGAAGAATTCAACCAAAATATATTTAAAACCATGACCTTCAGTATATGTGACTGTGTGTAGAGATAAAGAAATAGACACTGAATCCATTTTGGCCATATTTGCTGGTTTGGGTAAATGATTTAATCCTAGAATTGTCATGTGGATTTTCAGACCAATAAGATGCAATTAGGAAATGTATTTCTTCTTTTTACTGCCAGGTATATTGCATAGTAGCCTTATCTCTTCTGGGACAAGTGCCAAAAAAATAAAAGATAGTCCTCTGTGAGTGTCACCAGTTTCCCTACTTAATTTCAGGGAGAATACCCATAGAACTTTAGAGTTGCAGTTTTTGGCTAATTTTCTCATGTCCTGACCAGAATAATGAACCTTAAAATATCCAATTGTAAACAGGTACAAAAGATTCTTATGGGGTGGTGGATAGCAGGTGCTTTTTGTTTCATTTGGTTTGCAACACGTTGTTTTCCGGGTTTTTAGTGAACATGGATTTGTTCAATAATTAGATGAAATATGCAAATATTGTAATAAAAACTTATGTTTGCATAGAACTTTCATTGTTAAATACATGTTTTCATTTGACTTTTATCTATCCAGTCTCTCGACAGGTCATCTGGGAATTAATTATGGGGCTGTGGGGACAGAGAGAGCCGACCACCTAGATTTATGCCTATTTGGATAGTTTCTTGTTCTAAGTGATCTGAAATACCATGGCTCTACTATACAGTCTTCTTGATTAATTGCTTTCCTTGGAGATTCTAGCAAACAAATGTTTGCCTTAATTTTTTTTTTAAAAAAGTTTATTTCCAGCATCTTCCTAATGGTTAAACCAAGACTTCCAAGTATTTGGGAAATGATTAGGATAAGCATGTGAAATCTAAAGTATCTACTCAACATCTTTGGCATGCACCAATGAAAATACAATTAATCTTCTTTCTCCCAGAGATTAAGGTAAATAGGCCCTTTCTTGGAGGGTATGGTGTGATTCCAGTATGTTCCCTTCCAAAAATCATGTAGTGTCCTCTAAGATTAGATACTGAATTGTTATTCCAGTTCTTTGTGTCTCAGGGCAATTCACTTTACTTCTTTGCCTCAATTTCTTATCTAGATGATGGGATGACAAAATCTGCTTTTGTCAGGGACAGGGATTATTACAAGGAAAAATTAAAATGCCTGGGAGTAGCTTGATTTTCTATAGGAAAAAGATTAGATAAATCCTGTAGTAATCATGATTGGAGAGGAATTTATTTTAGCATGTAAAACAGTGAGCCATTAGGTGTCCTGATAAACTTCAAATTATATTTCTTCACAAATTGAGGCTGTCTTACCGAACTCACCTGAGGATGTTTCCTGCTGTCCCGATGAGTTTGAAATATGGTCTGTTCTTGCCTCACATTCCTGACTGTTCATCTGTGTTCTGAAGCTCATCCTTGTACCCAGAGCCCCTACTTAGGAAGAACCGAAGGAGGGGAAGGGGAGAGAAGCATTCATAATGAGCAAACTGCCCACCATCTTGGCATCTGTATCCAGGCAGTGTCTTCATCAGGACCCTCCAGTTCTCTTAATACAGTTAAATTGCTGTTAATTGATAGACACACTGTTTCATGCATGCTGAGCTTGGAGCCAACTAAATTTCTGTTTCTTATCCCCAGAAAGGCCAGGCAAGTACTTGTAAAAAATATCTTTTTTTTTCTAAAATCTCTATCCAGGACTTCATTTTATCTCATGTATTTCATGACATAGCCCTAGCCTGTCAAGGTCTTCTTGGATTTTTGATTGCATCATCCAACATTTACACCATCTGAGAATTTGGCCAGCAAACCATTAACAGGTTTCTGATGGACATGTTGAAGAGAGGTTGGAGCCAAGTGCTGCCCAAGAATGCCACTGGAAACTTCTGTTCAAGTTTATTTAACAAACATCTATATAGTGCTGACTAAGTGCCAGGCATTGTTCTAAAATTTGGTTTGCATAACAACCCAGTGAGGTACTATTCTTGCAGATAAATAACTGAGGCATGAAGAGATCAAGTTCATGAGTCAGTACTGTGAATATATTTATTCAATCACTTCACTTGCCTAAAATCCAATCTTTTTACAGTGATATTACAAGAGATATTTATCTAATGCCATTTCAAACCAGACATATCTTCCTAATCTACCCTTCTAAAAATACCTTCTGCCCCCACACCTCTACCTCTCCAGAAAAATGAGGTTAGGTAGGTGAGACTTGATCTTGAAGAACCCATGTGAGTACCTACCTAGTTGTTATCACCTTCTTTCTGAAGTGCGGGAGATACAAAATGGTAATAGCTACCATTAACTTAATCGTTTTCTGTGTAAGAGATGCTATATTAAATCTTTTATGCATGTTGTTTCATTTGATTCTTACAACGAAGTTTTTAAATAAGTTCAAGGTCACAGTACTATTACATGGCAGAACCAATAATTGAATATCCTAAAATTTTTGCCTAGAATCAGCTTCAAGTTCACCTGTCAGTATATTCCATAATTAACCTTTTTTTCCTTTCTTAGAAAGTTAGTACCCAGGGTTCTCTTTATCTTTTGTCACTTTTGTATTCTCCATGGTTTCTCAAAGATTACTGAAAGGAGCTCAGTGTTCATATCTGCAAATTCTTTCAGTGTCCTGGGATTGTAATCCATTTAGACCTAGGTAGGGACTTTAATTCATTTGAAACATCCAGCTAAGTCTGAAACTTATTACATATCTTCTCTTCTCTTTTGTGAAGTCACCTCTTAATCATGTTTCTTGTTTGAATGTTACTCTTGTTGGAGGAAATAGGAACCATTTTTAGTGAGTTTATTTATGAAGAAGAGTGCTGCCCAAGAATGCCACTGGAAACTTCTGTTCAAGTTTATTTAACAAACATCTATATAGTGCTGACTAAGTGCCAGGCATTGTTCTAAAATTTGGTTTGCATAACAACCCAGTGAGGTACTATTCTTGCAGATAAATAACTGAGGCATGAAGAGATCAAGTTCATGAGTCAGTACTGTGAATATATTTATTCAATCACTTCACTTGCCTAAAATCCAATCTTTTTACAGTGATATTACAAGAGATATTTATCTAATGCCATTTCAAACCAGACATATCTTCCTAATCTACCCTTCTAAAAATACCTTCTGCCCCCACACCTCTACCTCTCCAGAAAAATGAGGTTAGGTAGGTGAGACTTGATCTTGAAGAACCCATGTGAGTACCTACCTAGTTGTTATCACCTTCTTTCTGAAGTGCGGGAGATACAAAATGGTAATAGCTACCATTAACTTAATCGTTTTCTGTGTAAGAGATGCTATATTAAATCTTTTATGCATGTTGTTTCATTTGATTCTTACAACGAAGTTTTTAAATAAGTTCAAGGTCACAGTACTATTACATGGCAGAACCAATAATTGAATATCCTAAAATTTTTGCCTAGAATCAGCTTCAAGTTCACCTGTCAGTATATTCCATAATTAACCTTTTTTTCCTTTCTTAGAAAGTTAGTACCCAGGGTTCTCTTTATCTTTTGTCACTTTTGTATTCTCCATGGTTTCTCAAAGATTACTGAAAGGAGCTCAGTGTTCATATCTGCAAATTCTTTCAGTGTCCTGGGATTGTAATCCATTTAGACCTAGGTAGGGACTTTAATTCATTTGAAACATCCAGCTAAGTCTGAAACTTATTACATATCTTCTCTTCTCTTTTGTGAAGTCACCTCTTAATCATGTTTCTTGTTTGAATGTTACTCTTGTTGGAGGAAATAGGAACCATTTTTAGTGAGTTTATTTATGAAGAAGAAGTCCATATTAAAACTCTCTCAGATAATCTAGCTATAGTTTTGCTAAACTGGATTATTATTGCCTAATTCAGCTTTTTATGCATTACTAAAACTTAGTCATTTCATTTTCTCTCTCATTTTATCTCTTTTCTTTATTAATAGACTTTTTATTAATGATTGATTCTGTGGAATATGGGCTTGTAATGAAAACAAAAGTCTAGAGTACCTTCCAGCAAGCTCAAACCCTGTCCTGCTAAGCCAATTTGTGTTTAAGTGGCTCCTTCATATCAAGGATGGCACTCCACCAGCTCACTTTCCCAAGCTGGATGATGAAAAGATCAGCTCCACTCTCCTTTTATCTTCTCTTTTTCATTGTTAAATGCATGAAAAGGTGCAGGACTAAAGTTCCTGCTGGCTGGAACACAGTGAAAATAAGCAAGTAATGAAAAGATTTCTGGTGAGTCTCTATGATACTCAGGAAGGGCCAAGAAAAAGTGAAATAAGTAGTCAGGATTCCAGGGCTGCTATTTTAGTTGATAAATGTTTGAATATTTAAATCTATTTAATATTTAAGTTTAAATATGTAAATTAAGCACTCAGTATTTAAATAAATAAATAGTGAGTATCTGCTCAATCAGGTACCAGTTCAAGCAGGAGGAGGAACAAAGATGGTTGCATGGTCCTCAACTTGGAATAGTCAAAGGCTGGTTGTGAGACAGGCAAGGAAAGTAAATAATTATAATCTAACAATATAGGTCCATAAGAACATACTTCTTATTATCATTTGGTTCTAAGTATTTTTAAATTTCCATTTTGATCTCTTGCTTGAGCCATGAGATACAAAAGAATGCTTCCCAAACTCTGTGAAGAACCAGTTTGTTTATTCTTATTTGTTATTACTTTGTTTCATTTTTAAGCTAATCTGGACTGATATTTTTGTAAAATACAAAAGAAAAAACTGAACTGCTAGAAAAATTAAATGCTACTTGGTGTCACAGCAACATTAAGTGCTGTAGAAATTTCTAAACTCGTTCTCCTCATTC